AGCAGGAATCACAGCCTAGGGATCCCCATCCTTGTGAGTCTCTCAGCACTGAATTACAGAGTTATATATCCTTTTTCTTCTTCTGGTCCCAGGAATTTTGCAATCTTGCAAAGTACACAGTGTCAGACTTGGAGCCTACCTCTATCCTGGGGGCTAGGGAACTCTCACTGAAGATGTGAGATTGAAACTTAAGACTAAGGTGACTATAAATCCCTGATGTTATACTTACTGGAGTAGTAGGACATACAAAGAGCCATAAAAATGAGCAGGCACACACCACCCTCATATCTTCCTTTCTGTGCAAAGGAATCATTAGATTCAGACCTGGGTTTCAGGCTAAGAAACAATCTGAGAAGTCAGAGTTAATGAAGAAGAGTACTGTTAGCTACGTTACCTATGAAGTTGTTTGGGCATCCCTCCTTTAGCACACTGATCCCTGTGACTCTCAGTCATGTCCTGGAGAGTTTCAGGCAGAAACATGGGAGCATTCACATCTGCTCACAGACACTTTTAGTCTTTCAGACATCCAGTAGTCCAGCTGGAGACGCTACTTGCCTCAGTCTGCCAAACAAAGAGACAATTGGACATAATTTGGGGGTAGAAAGTGTGGCTACATTTAGAAAAAACAGGGTCACCCTATTTCAGCAACGTGAATTCCTGCATGAAAGCCAGTGACACCAGCAGCACTAAGCACATAGCTCCAGCTCAGTGCCACCAGCACCCCTCCTGAAGGTAACCCATTTTGTTGCTGGTATAGTTATACAGATGTAAGAGTTCTTGCAAAACATTCATACCTCTCTACTTCAGCACACACACTTGTTAAGAAAAAGCATCTCACTAAGGTCATAGCACACCCTTTGTCATAGCACAGCTACATTATGCAGTGGATAGTCACCTGGCCTCTTCTGAACTTAAAGGAAATCCCAGTCCTTTCCATTTCAGAGTTCTGCAAGCAAAAAAGCCTCAGCAGCTTACAGCATCCTTGTCTTTGAAGCCACCACTGATAAGTGAGTTGCCTGTAAAACATAAACCCATCACTATTCTCCAAAGCAAGACAGATCCTGAGTACAGCCGTCACAGTAGAAGCATCTCAGCTCCATCCCCAAGCCCAGCCTCCACAGGTCTTTTTAACTCCTCCATCTGAGCCTGCAGCAATCCCCACCCCAGGAGCTGACTGCCTCAGTTGTCGCAATGTAGGAGAGGAGGGCTCTTCTCCTGGAAGCTTGCCTGGCAGGAAACCTTTCCCTAGCACTTTTCAAATGCATTTTAAGTGTGCAATTGCTAGTATCTGGATGCCTCTAGTCTTTGTAACTGAGCTTTCTGCTCTGAACTCTTCACGTGCATGAACACATAAAAGGCAGAGGTTGCTGTAGAGGACACCTGGGTTAAATTAGCACAATTACACAGCATTAAGCAGGTCTGTAAAATGCAATGCAGCTTTCTACATTACTGAAAACACGGTGCATGGCTGTTGAGTTATTGCCAGGAGCAGAAGTTGACCTGTGAGAGGCATGCATGGCTAAAGCCCTTGCATGCATAGCTCATTGTGCTCAAGCTGTGTCTCTTCACCTCTGTCTGCTGGTGTGCTGCACCTTTTCACCTTTGTGTTTTTTAATTGGAGAGCAGATGTGCAAGGGAGCTTTTCACCTGCCTGCCTCTGAGACTTCATATTGGCTCTGAACCTCTGAAACTAAGTAACGATATGTAGGACTGGGGTCTTCACATAGTAGATAAAGGCTTGCTATTGCTGGCTACTGTCTCCTAAGGATAGTGAATGGCGAGTGAGAGGGGATGCTTTAGTATTTGCATCCTTTCTCAGTAAATATAAGCCTTTGATTGGGTCAGATGTAAGCATATGTAACAGTGTCAGGAGAGGTGTGCGACTGTGAATCCTTTTGCTTCTCATATCAAACAAAAGTTGTAAGACGGCATTCTGTGGCCCTGCCTAGTTCTCCAGGTTGATGATGCCAGGTGGAGGAGGAGGTATGGAGGAGACAGCTTGGAAAGCCAAAGAAATACGTTTGCACTAGTAGATGAATAACGAGAGAAGAGGTAATGAGGTCCCCAGCCTTGTCCTTTTTGAGAAGTTATTTCTATTGGAGGGAAACTGCGCGGCAACACTTTTCCCGTCCTCAGGTCTCAAGGGATGCACTCTGTCTGAGATGAGAAGCTGTCGAAGCAGTCCTCTTGGGCCTCCCTGTCTTATCTTTGAGGGTGAATAAATGAATCATGAAGCACAGCATTTAAGCTCAGCAGTAGCCAATATTCCAGGTTTTCAATACAGGGAGAAGATGGGAACTTTTAGTAGAGCTCCCTGTTACGCATCTGCAAAGTAGAGGGAAGAAGTGGAGCGCAGAAAGCACGTAATTATCATTAGTGGAGAAAAACAAATGGGCTTTTTCCATTTTAATAACCTAATACGTTACTTGTACCGTAGGTGAGGATTTTTTTTTGAAGCCTGACTATCCCTTTAAAAAATACTGGAAACACACTTCAGAGAGTTGTAATGAAATAACATTATTTATCAGTATTAAATATAGATAAACAAAAATGAGAAACAGACTTAATTGAAACCCTCTGTGAAATCTGGCTAATCAGTTTTCATTTCCAGGAGGCTTTAACTTATGTTATTTAATTTATTATTTATCTATCTGTTTTATTTTGATTTTTGTTTTGAGCCCTAGCTCTGGGCTTTGGGCACTTTAGAAACACTTGGGGAGAGCTTGGGAATATTGCTACCGACTTCAATGCTTCACCCATGTTAGACTCTTGCTAAGGCTTCGATAAACTTAATGACCATGCAAGCATTCTCCTAACTTCACTAGTAACGTTAATCTTTATTACAGGCACATTACAATATATTTCCTGACTGCCAAAGTGCCTTTCCTTTTGGACCCAGTTTTACCTCCATTCCATGCAAACACGTTGCCATTTCACTTTATTTCTTTAATTTATAGGCATCAAAGTTGCTGAATCAGGAAACTGAGGTTATAGCTGTTGAAGAAACGGATCCCACATTGCAACAAACTGCTTTTTCTGCAGATTTTCTTGTGTTCCTCATTCTGAGTCATTGTCACACGTTTTAAAGGCCAATGTTACATATGAAGCTCTTGATGGTGAGAGCTATGCCCTTTCTTGTGGTTTCTGCAAGCAGACAATTGCCATTCTGTGTCTCTACTGCTTGTCACTAGCTAATGATGCTTAATTCACATTTCAGTGCTTCCTGTGTCACTGGAGAGTGCGACATTGCATGCCAGAACTGGGAATGAAATGGTTAAATTTGACTATGTTAATTGGATTCTAATTAGTCCAACAATGCTGCTTATCTCTGCTGAAGTGTAACTCTCTGGGATTCCACCTCTTTATGGGGAAAAATTGTAGAGCTTAGGAAGAAGTAAAATTCAAGAAAAAAGTAATAAATTATACATTAAAATTTTAGTGATTAGCTATAGTAGTAGTTGTTGTCAGTGTACTTCCTTGTAGTTTCAAAAGTAAACCTGAAAATATCTATGACATTCAGGGTTGTGGCCGGAAAAAATAAAGCCATATTATCTCTTCAGAAGCAAAAAGGACTAAAATGTTTGATTAATGGATCCATCCATTCATGTAGTTATTTTCTCCTCACCTACCCCCTAAAATGCATGCATGTGCTGTTGTCCACATGTATGAATTTATCCTTGCAATATACCATCGAGATAAGTCAGTCGTTTTGTCCCAGTTTGCAGGCTGAGGGGACTGAAAGAGAGGATGATGAAATGATTTACCCGAAGTTACATTGGAAAATTGTAGCAGAAACAGAGACTAACCAAAGCTCTTCAGTGCTGCCATCCAGATTGATATAGGAAACTTGCAATACCTATAGAAGTATTAAAATGTTAAATGACTTGAAATTAAAGGCTCTGTCCAGAGCTAAAGCCATCATTTGGATTATTCACTCAGTTCTTTGAAAAATACACAAATGCAGCAGTATTATGAGTGCAATTACAGCCAATGGCAAATTCTTAAATGAAGGGCAAATCAAAAGAAAGCCATCTATGTTTTATATTTCTGTGGTCTCTTCCATCTCAGCAGTGATAGAAAGCACGGCTGCGCATACGTATCTGAAACATATGTTGATTTTTGTGCTTGTCAGCTCTTTAGGCTTTGGGGGAATTCTCCCACAGTGGTTACGCTGAGATAGAGCAAGAAAGAGTGCACGGTTCCTTGGCTTTAAGATCTTCCTCCATCTCTGCTCAAGATCTGAGTAGGAGCGCCTGCCCTTGTCCTATTCCACCCACCCTCGTTCTTTCATTCCCAGATTTTCTTTCCTTTTCCTTATCGAGAGCACTTGGGAGCAAATTGTTTAGGATTCAGTTAGAAGGGCACAGATGTTACCACCTGCTGCACATTGCTTTCTTCTCATAGACTTTTAAAAAGGCACTTCTTATTTTAAAAAGGAGGAGGAAGAGCCATGGCCTTTGGTGTTGCTCAGCAGTGACACAGCTGGAGCTGGCCGGGGGTGGTGGGGTGTTATTTTTTACAGGTTGGCAACCAGAGGCTTGTTGCAATGATATACTTTTTTCCAGAGATTGCCTGAGTGTAGATGTGCCAACATAGGTTCCGGTTTTACCACAGCTAATTCTCTTATTTCAAAGAGAGGAAATATCCTCGGACAAATCTGCTTTGTCAAGGTTGAAAACGTTCCACACCACAGATGGTGACCATAAGGTGCAAGTGAGTTTTCAGCTGAACCAGTGACACCCTACCCATTTGCTTCACTGCTGAAGATTTTAAAACTAGTTTTTGTTATGAGAAGCTGAGCAAGATCCTTCTCTCCAAATGTCTCTTCCTCCTGTTAGCTCCTCACTTCCATATTCATGGCACTCCTGCTGCTACTAGCACTACCATGCGTAGCACCTACCGCAAATTGTCCAGTTCCTGGTGTTAGGATGGCAGTTCCCTTTGGTTTTTGAAAAATTCATCAAGCGGGGGTGGAAAGGGTAGCAGAGACCTGTTATGGTTCAGCACCCTATTACAGGAGATTTTTCTCAGGTACTCTCCTGCGTGACGACTCGATGGTATGATGACGAGACGAGCTACAGGCATCTCACACCTCTGGTTTTGTGCAAAAGCCACTTATTGTATTTAGATTAGCTGTCATATTGGAGCACAAAAAATTCTACGTGCAAAGATAGTGTTGTGGGAAGGGTGGGGAGTTTCCCAGCAACTGTGAGGGGGTTTTCAGTCCCTTCTAACGCGGTGTGAGATTTTTTTTTTTCTTATGGACTGAATAGATCCTCAACGGGAGTAGCAATGGCAGCTTACAATAATTGGTACCATGCTCTTCTGATTCCTCTTAACTGAGGGGTTTTATGTTAATGTTAGAGAACCCACCTGTGGCTGGCGGACTCAGTAGCTGTATCTAATTTTTCACTTTTGTAAATTCCCCAATTTCGTTGTGATGCCTCTATAATAATTTGCGGTGTAGTCATAGGTCCTCACTTCTCTTTTCTCCCTGACTAATTCCTTCCACGAAGAAAAGTAAGCTTAAGGAGGCTGTAACGTTTGATGTGCTCCAGGTCCAACAACAAAAATATAAGTCTAAAAAGGAAATATTCTTCTATTTTTGAGAAACTAAAACAAAAAGTAAAAGTGAGTGGTTAGGTCTTCCACTTCCCGAGAAGCTTGCCTTCTCTGCATTTCTTAAAACTGACTTCAGGAAAGGTTTTGTTAACAAAAGGGTAGCAGGTTGGGGACATAAATTACTTAGACTTTGTAAAGAAGTGGTGTTAAGTATGAAAAGTACTTTGGGGCAGCTCCTGCAATTCCTCACCCTCTTCATTTGTGGTACATCCTTTCAGAGTGAAAAGCTATATACACATCGGGTCGGCTTAATTCGCACTCCCTCTTTTCCTAATTTGGGGGCTAAATTCGACGTAAGCCAGGGCAGCTTCCCAGATTAGAGCTGCCATGTGGCTCCCACAAAGACAAGCCCAGTAGGTACGTGTCCGCCCGACCTTCCTATGGCACTGTCATCCTTGTATCAATCCTAGCTATTTCCTCACCTTCCATGTTTCTCCACGCTGCCACCTCCACATTTCTTTGCTGTCCCTCCAGACCAT